TATTATTCCTATGTGGTGACTGCGAATAATTTCTATATCGGTTATTGTAACTTGAATTTCGATTTTGTGAACTGTTCCGTGATCTGTTTTGATAATTATCATTTGATCTGTGATAGTTTGATCTATTATACGAATTATTTCTTGATCGATTGTTCGGGTAATTCTGATTTCGATTGTTCGAATAACTTCTATTTCTATTATGTGAATAGTTTCTATTTTTGTTGTATGATGAGTTTCGTGACTGATTATTGGAATAGTGTTTATTTCTTGGATTTGATTGGGAACTGGATCTAGAAACAAATTGTGTTGCATTTGAATTTGATCTCGAATGGTTATTTCGACTATTTGATCGATTATAATTATTTTGTGAAGAATTTTGTGTATTTCTTCGTTCTGGTGATCTTCCTCTATAACTTGAGTTATATGGTGATTGATTCCTGTTGTAATTGGTGTTGTTCGGAAGTGCTTTTCCTGAACTGTTATTACTATATATATTTTTGTTTGGTAGATTTTGACATTTTTTCATATATTGATAGAACGATTTATTTGGTTATTTATGCTTTTGAGGTTTATTCTGATTATCTTGTTGTTTTTGTCTACATTCGGAAATACTATGTCCGTATCGTCGGCAATAATTACACCATTTTTTGAAGGATGGTTTGCCTTTAAAAATTGGATGTTTTTCATAGATATTTAGTATTTCAGTGATTTTTTCAATTAGGTCTGTATCTGATTCCTGTATGTTATTTATATGTGTAGTGTTTGTTTCAATTCGATTAACATATTGTAGTTTTAGATTTTCTGTTTATTCGAGTTTCATTGTGATTTCCGCTTGCTCTAGTTTATTTACTAGTTTTCGAAAATCTAAATCTGGCTCTCGAATTGAGGAAGGATGAGATGCTCTCTTTTTTATTGCTATTTTCCTTAATTGAGGTGTTAAGGTCATCATTAAAATTTCTGTCATTTTTGTGTTTTTATAGTCATGTGTATTAAGTGAATATGCTTTTCGAACTAGTGTTTTGATATGTACTAATTGTTTGATAGTTTGATAGTTTCATTTGGTAATCTGCGAATTTCATTACATAAAACTCTTTGGTGTTGTTTATTTCTTTCGGAGTCAAATATTTTAAGAAATTCTTGTGTAAATCTTTTCCAGTCTGATTTAATTTCTATAGGTAATACTGAAAACCATTTTTGAGCTGCGCCATCTAAGGTTGTTTGTATCAGTGCTGTGCGTCTATGTATCCAATTTTTTCCACCAGATGAGTTAGGACCGATGTGGTTAACTCATAGAGTAATTTCGGATAGGGTACACCGTCTGCTCGTCACGCTATCTTATTTTCGGCCGGATAGATTCGTGCAACTTCTTAGTCTAATACCGATCCTAATCTTACCCTTATACTTTCTAGTCTCAGGGTGTTTAACTAGTCTCTGCTAGGCTCAATAGATCTAGGGTATACTGGTTTGTTGCGGCTGCTGAAGTTCTCTTGGAGAGGCAACTAATTTCTAAGTTAAATTCAAATCTCTCTGGTGCTGAAATTCCAAGTATTTTCAGCACTTACAAATAAGTGGGTTGTTAGTTAGATGGATCATGATTAGTTAATATTAAACACTTTACAGTGGTAAAATAACCAATTTATCCAATCATAAAACATAGTTTAGATCAGGTTCCATTACGTAGCTAAACAAACTTTAAGAAAATTATACTCTCCAAAAAAATCCCAAACGTTTTTTAAAATGTTTTTTTTTTAAATTCTTGGTGTTTATACAGTAAAAACAATCATGTTTTGTTTTATTTAAAAAAATAGTGAATACAATGTTTTTTCAGAAGAATATACCCTTCTGAAAAATTGCTGGGCTACGTAAGAGGCTCACTTTGATAGAATTATGTCAATGATCGTCCTAGTAGTTTTGGCGTAATTTTTGATTGCTTAAAAAAGTCAAAAATGATTCGTTTTTGAGGTAAAATTTTGGGGCCAAATTTTGCGAAACAAACCCCTACCCTCAATTCTGGGTGCCAAATTTCTCCAAATGTTCCCACTTTGGTATAACTTTACGAAATCAATTTTGGCTGGCGCCAAAAAAAAAATAATATTAAGGGGGAGCGCCAAAAATAGCATTTTTTTGGTCAAGTATTTTTATAAAGCTTAAAATGTCATTTTTAGCCTGTTTTTTTTAAAATTTGCCTGCATTACAAAGAAAAATATTTTAGAAAAAATGGGGTTTATCTGGTATTTTTGGAGAGATCGGAAAATTAAATTTGTCAACAAGTCAACAAGATTTGTTTTTCAAAAAATCGCCCCCTCCCTAGAAAAGTTTCTGTGCGCGTCATTGTTTCTCCATTTTAATTCTTAAGCAAGAATTGTCTTCATCATTTTTTCTAAAATTAACCCAAATTGAGAAACTCGCTTTTAAGTTTTAAATTTCATTCGTTTGGTATGCATAAGTTTAATCAGCAGTGTTTTTTTCACCCGCATCTGTGATCATGTATATATCTTCATCCGAGCGTTTTTTTGCATAGTGCTTTAGTTTGCAAGGCTATGTTCAGACTTGGCTCAGAAAACGTTGGACCATAGATTTTTTCATGGGTCCAACCTATGATTGATTCAGACTAGCAAAGCGTGAACACAAAATCAAGACCTTGAACCGGATGATGACTTTATTTCTGAAGATCCGTTTGGAAATACCTTTGCTGTCATTGTGTTTTTGTTTCTTTCTGCTTTAGGTAATAGCTCAGTTTCTGTTTCGCATTTGGAATGGCCTTGACCTAAATCTCAATTAAAACGAACTCAAGGCGATTCGATTTCTGAAGTATTTGGATGCATCAGTACTTATGAGAGGTGAATCCAATTTAGGATGTTTCATTTAGAATTCCGTGGCCAGAGGCTCGTAGTCTAGAAAGAGAACATCCTTCCAAGTGAAATTTTCTTTTTCTCCTTCTTTTTTAGAAACACTTTTTGCCATTTTTGCTTGAGTTTGCGAAGGAAAATTTGCTTATGTGCAAAAGCGCATGTAAAGGCGATAAGTTATAATTATAACTTTTTATCAATTATGTGCATAGTCGCGACATTACTTGCATGGGTCCAGGGTCGCGCAAAGTCATAACAGGACATTTTTTCTAAGTTGAGCAAAGTCTCTCAAAAGTTTCTCGGTCGCGGAAGTACCGACTGGGTATCTCTTGGGTTGCAAAAAGTGAATCGGCTTCTCCATTTTGAGTTGCGCTGGTCGCGACTTAGATTGTGGACCTCGATTCTGGTGGTTTGTCAAGAAAAAACTTCAAATGCAGACTTATAGCTTCATCAATTTTGTCTATTAGAGATCTGTATCCACGGATCAGTCTGATTCAAGCAGTTAAACTAAAATGTCAGGGCCAGCAACTTCATTGATTTCTGGTTGTGTTTGTTCAAGTTGTTTGACTGTCTGTCATTGTTAGGTCAAACTTCCGTTGATTTAAACCTTTATTCTAATTTCTCTTTTGATTATTATAGTTTGTGAGCAAATCTTGAACCGACAACACACTTGTTTTCAAAGATCGAATAAATTTTAGACCTGGTTGTACTTTTGATTACAGAAATGGGAAAAAATACATCTTCAATAAGAAAAAGTCCCAACTTTGGTGGAAAAATTGAGTCTATATGGAAGTTGTTGACTACAAAATACGTGCTTCTGCAGTTTTTCCGTGTTATTTTGTCAAACTTGAAGAAAAATCGATTTGAGAACCCTGATAAAGTGTAGCTAAGTCACCATAGCAACTTATCGATAACACACTCTACAGTTTGTGAAATCATCGTCTTTACTTTTGTAGATAATAACCTTTTGGTTTTAGTTCTTAGTCTTTGAAAATTTTCTCCAAAGACTCATTTTTTCTCCGTAGATTCAACAACCAGTCCTGCAAAAAAGCGTTCCCCTGAAGTCAGTGCTTAACACTCTGCTGATTGAATTGTATCGTTTTCAAAAAATGTGAAAAAATATGTTCAAAAAGAAGAAAAAAATTCGAAATTAATCTATAGTTTACTTGTCAAAGCGGTTTTCTGCGCTAAATCGCAATTTATGATGGCAGTTTAAGTTAATTCGTTTGGAGTTCTGCGACCTTTTGATTTCGTTTTTGCTCTCTATATTTTTAGAAACTGTTTGTTTTTATAAGCTAATAGTATATAGGCTAATGCAGTTTTTTTGAATATTTTATCCCATGACGACATTATTTTTAGGTCATTCGAATTGGTATTTCCGAGATCTTTGAAAACCCTAGACAGAACATATTTAGCCAAATTTTCCGGCACCGCTAGCAAATTTGTACAGAACTAAAGACACTGGCCCAAAAAGTTTGGCCCCAGTAGCGGATTTAGGGAAGGGGTCGGACGCTTCTTTCTCAGGAATTCGACCCCCTGCCGACCCAAAGGATCCCCCCTTTGTACTATTTTGAGATATCCATATTTGGTGACGGACCCTAAAATATTTCTAAAGGCGCCGTCGGCGCCAATTATACTAATGTTGAGTGGGGAGCTTGCCTCCGGCGCAGAAAATTTGGTCAAATTAGGGTCTTTATATTGGTTTGGGAGAGCTCATAGTTTTCATTTTTTTTTGAAAATCTGCCCCCTTCGAGAAATTCCTTGATCCGCGCCTATTTGAACTAAAAAAAAAAATTGACGCGCGCTCTCTGGTCAGCCTCTTAACAATATATTTTTGGGCGCTCTCTACCGATCAATTAAGTGTATATTGGCACCAATGGTGCCTTCCGAAATATACTAAGGTGAGTCATCGAAAAATTGAAGTCCTTAAATAGTATCAAAAGGGGACCTCTTAGATAGTCAGGGCTTCGAGTCCCCGAGAGGGACTTTCCCCCTCCCCCGCCTCCCTTACCTCCCCCTAAACCCGCTTCCGGTCGTAGCTTGCTTGCTATTCGTCAAAACACTTATTTTTGTAATTCATACATATGTTTTTGTGAAACTAAATGAAAAAAGCAAATTAAATAGGGGAGTGTGCAGCCTGAATGGAGTCCAATGAAATCACATGAACTCTCTCACCAGTTCGCAATCCAATATTTATCGAGTTTACCAGAAGAGGAAAACGGAGCAGCTTCGCCAATCGGTTTATTTGTATGTCTTTCTTTGGCCAAATTGGGAGCAGAAGGCGATACTTTGAGCGAGTTCATAGAACTAATTGGCGATGACGCAGAGAACACAGAAGCGTTAGTGAAACAACTTGCCTATTGGAATGATGAAAAATTTGAGCTGAAGTTTGCAAATGGAGTTTTTGTCAGAAATGGAATTACACTGAACAAAAGTTTCGAGAAAAAATTGAAGAACAGTTTTTCAGCGCTGAGTCGAAATGTTGATTTTGGAACCGAGGCTGGTGGAAAGGTCATAAATGATTGGATAAAAAAACAAACGAACGGTTTGCTTGGCGATGTAATAGGAGATACGAGCAATGTACTTGCTATTCTCGTAAACGCGCTCTATATGAAAGGTAAATGGGTGAAAAAGTTTTCACTTAGTCAAATGTCACCTGATTTCAGAACATCTACTGGCGATATTGTTAAGCCCCAGATGATGGAAAAAGAATGTCTTTTCGACTATTACACAGATCCTGAAAACAAATTCCGTGTTGCGTTTTTTGAATACGAAATTGCCAAAAACCCAGCCGGTAAATGGGAAATGGGAGTTCTTCTTCCAGATCCTAACTTGTTGCTAGGTTCTAACTCCAAAATTGCTGACTTTTTGAATTTCATTTCTCCAGAGAACTTGAAAAAGTTCAAGGAGTACAACTTTTATGGGATGGATTCAAGACTTCCGACCAAACTGGATGTTTTGCTGCCAAAAGTAAAAATAGTGACTGACATAAATCTGATTCCATTACTGCAGAAGATGGGACTTTCCAGCGCTTTTTCGGCAGACAAAGCCGACTTCTCTGGAATGACGTAAGTCCCCACAACTGAGTACAGTATTGCGCCTTAGAGTATGGCGCGTCAAAATTTTCAACATTTTCAAAAACTTTCTAATTGTGTGGCAAATTGGTGGTATACTTTTACCGATCTGTAAAATTTTTCAGAAGGAGCGATTTCAAATAGCACGCAAATAAAAAATGTTTGTTCACAGGTTTTGGTTGTGCCATAATTTGGTGATGTGAAAAACTATAGTAGATACATTGATCGCTTGACATTTTTTGATTTCTTGAAAACCTCTGGAAAACTACATAATTCTTAACTTTTATTCAATTGTTATAAGACTATTGCATCTTTAATATTTCAGCTCTGATACTTCATTTTACTTCAATACTGCCAAGCAGATGTGCTACGTCGACATAGACGAAGAGGGGACGGAAGCAGCAGCTGTCACCATGATGACCATGTGCTGCAGTGGGTCCACCCCAAGTCTACCCATCCCCTTCTACGTCACGTCTCCCTTCATCTACTTCATATTTCAGCCGGCCACTGGGATCATACTGTTCGTCGGAGTTGTGAACAATCCCTGCAAGTGATGACGATAGAAAGAAACTGTCTACTTTCCATTCTCCCCTCCCACATTTACTTTAAGCTAGAAAAGTTGTTTTAACGTTGTCATAATGATGAGAAGTTTTTTCATGTTGAAAAAAACTAAATATTGTTAAGAGAATTAATAAAATAAAAATAAAAGCAAGTAAATAAGTAAAAATAAAAACTCTGAAATGGGGGGACGAGGTGGGTGGGAGTGGATAAATATCCAAAAAACTCATTTAGTGTGTAAAATTGTATTTAATTAAGTTATCAGAGAGTCTAATAATCATACTTATATAAATGAGCTTTTATTATTTTGATGAGTCAATTATTGATTTATCTGCATGTTTTTGTCAAGGTTAAAGATTTAATCAAAAAAATCAACCAAAACCGTCTGGAACAACATTATAAATCACACCAATTTTCCAAAAGATGCATATAGCACCAAAGAAAAATTTGAGAGGAAATTGAGTTAGGACCGATGGGTATAACTCATAGAGTAATTTCGGATAGGGTACACCGTCTGCTCGTCACGCTATCTTATTTTCGGCCGGATAGATTCGTGCAACTTCTTAGTCTAATACCGATCCTAATCTTACTCTTATACTATCTAGTCTCAGGTTGTTTAACTAGTCTCTGCTAGGCTCAATAGATCTAGGGTATACTGGTTTATTGCGGCTGCTGAAGTACTCGGGAGAGTTCAACTAATTTCTAAGTTAAATTCAAATCTCTCTGGTGCTGAAATTACAAGTAATTTCAGCACTTACAAATAAGTGGATTGTTAGTTAGATGGATCATGATTGGTTAATATTAAATACTTTACATTGGTAAAATATCTAATTTATCCAATCATAAAATGTAGTTTAGATCAGGTTCCACCCATCCGGGTTTTACAGAGTTTTTTAGAATAGTCTTTCTGCAATTCAAAGGATGGATGATGGACGTTGGTATTTGGCGAACATCTTATTTCTTCTGGGTTTTCTTATTAGAGAAGTTCCAGATTCAATCGTTGTGTCTTCTCAAGACAACGACTGGGTTTTCGCATTAAACTCAAATCTGATTTCAGAATGGTTGGCTATGTCAGGTTTTTCTGTTTCATTGATGAGAACTTCTTTGTGTTTGACCTTGTCTGGGAATGGCGTGGAGATTGTGCGTGGAGGGGATGCCTGGTTACTCGGATCTGTACGTATACTTGAACATCGAGGTGGTCATTGGTCTAGTTCAATGAAGTCCTTTTCTGCGAAGTCAAGTCGTACTCTAAATCCTTTGAGTTGTGATTGTGGGCGGCATATTGATTGTAGTTGGCCATTCTTTCTCGAGTGTAGTAGGGTCGTTTTGTCTTTCGATGTTCGTCCTTGGTGTTGTATTCTGATCTATGTATTGCATAATGTAATTTACATTTTATAAAACTTTTATTAGTTTAATATTTTTTAATTATGATTTTAGTTAGTTGTTTTCACAAAAGCTTTTTGTTTTAGTTCAGTTATTTTGAAGAGTTACTCACCCTTGAGTAGCTCTTATTAAAAATAGGAGTGTGGTCACAAAGCGTGGATGTAGCGCGGTGGGTTAGGCCGGCTATAGAGCATGCTCAGGACGTCCTTCCTGGTGGGTTAGGCCAGGAGTGGGAGTATGATTGCATGCGGTTTTTGTGAGAGGTCCTGTTATGTGACAACGTTTTATGTTGGGTTTGTTGTGGTTTTTCTTATGTTTTGTTGGTTGTGTCCTTTTTTCAAAAATCAAATTGTTTGTGGTATGGGTTTGTCTTTCGACTTTTTTGTGTTTTATTATTTCTTTCTTAGACTTTATAATAGTCTTCAAAAGAATAAATTATCCAGTTTTAAACTTGGTTAATCCGGTTTGGGTACCGTTGGTTTCCTTTTCTTAGTCATGCTGTTATGCTATGTGTTGTGGTGTTTAGTAAGCTGCATTGGTTAGTTTTGTTTAGTATATAATTCCTTTCCAACCGGGTTAAAGGAAAGTTTGAAACTTGTTATCGTGTGTTAGAGTTGTTGAGTTGTGAAAGCTTGAAACTGAAATTCATTATTTAAACAATTCTTCGTGGGCGAGCTGTGCGAGTTTGGATAGAATTCTTGTGCGAGTGAATGAGAATATCAAAAGGTTAGTACTGCATTTGCTTCTTATTAATTTACTACATAGAATTTCAATTTTACTGCTAGTTGTTGGGGAAAATTAAGTTACAAATTTTCATCATTATTAGATTTACTGCTTGTGGGGGAAAAATTTATAAATTAAATTACTGCATTGGTATTATATTTATTTAATTGTTGGTGCAAAAATTTAATAGGGTTTTAAGCAGTTTTGAAGAAGTTTGCTATTTTTTATTTTTCTTTTGTGAATTTTTCAGATGATCGTTGGATGAAGGCTAAAATTCTAAAGAAAACATGGATAAAGAATGGTGAGTTTCTAATATTTAAATTTGTTAGTAATATGTATAATTCATACTTACCTGTTAGTCGTCGGGGAAGAAACCGTGGGGGAAGATGTCGTGGATGAGATCTGAAGTTGTTAGTAATTTAGCTAAAATGCGGATGATATTTTTAGTTTGAAGCAGTGGCCAAAGCAATTGAAGTGCCTTAATGGTGGTTAGTTCTTCAGTGCCAACTGCAAATTCATAAGGTGTGTTTTGGATTAGATTATATAATTTGTGATTGAATTTAGTGTTATGGATGAATTCTAAAATGGGGATTTCTATAGGTTGTACAAACTCGTGTGGGATAAGGAAGGGTCGGGATTCTTCTGCGTTGAAGGTCTTGGTGATTGGACAAAAAATATACATTTGGGTTAGGGGATCATAATTTCGAAGAATACCATGAAGGTTAGTATCTTTAATGCAATATGTGAAGTTAAGAAAGAATGGTGAGGTGTATTTGGAATTGATGAATTGAAAACGATGGTGTGGTTGTCTGGAGGGAGTGTGTAGGTCAAAGTGATTTTGGATGAAACGATAATAAGTATATGTGTGTGTTTGTTTAGTGCGCAACATAATATCGTGTGAGCAGTGCAAATCTCTTTCATGTGGTGCAAGGAAATGAAAGGTTAGTGAAAATATTTGGAAGCGTTCTTTAAAACTTTCGTAGGCTTGTGTGTCTGTTAGTGCTTCTGAAATAATGTGGTCAAACTTGCGATCGAAGATATTTAGTGTAAATACATATGGTGTTTTAATGAAAAATTTCTCGGTGATTTGTGGGTTAGCGAAGCGATCGTCGTCTAAGAATTGATCTTGGTTAGTACTGATGATGTTATGATCGTAATATTCTAGTGTATATTCATTAGCTCGGGGTGCAGTGTGTGTTTTTAGTGATTTTTTATATCCAATGTAAGTAAATTGTCTAGATGTTAGTGGTGTAGTGAGTCGATATAGCATGTCCTTATTTCGTTCTATATCGATGTGAGTGTTAGATAAAGGTGAGCAAAGGGGATTTGTAAAATGATAATATGAGGTCCAAGGAAGGGTAGGCATTAAAACGTATTCGTCTACAAAGTTACGTGTCTCGTTAGCGTCATGAGGGGTGTTTAAGGTGTATTGTGGAAATGAGGGTAAGGTGATAGCTAAAAATTCTTTTGTGTTAGTGTGTTTTGGATGGTTGATATATTCACGGGCTGTTCCTGGTTTCGTTGGGAAAGGATGGTTGGGGAACTTTCTTTTAAAAGTGCGGAAAGCTCTATTAGTGCTGAGTGATGATTCAGTAGTTGTGGATGATGGTGCTAATGATTCAGTATAAATTGAAGAGGGTGTAGGGGTAGGAGGGTTGAATGAATTTATTGTGGATGAGATTTGGTTTATGGTTGGGGTGTCAAGGTGATAGGGTTGTTGTTGTAGGGTAATGAAATTATCTAGTTCTGGGGAGATTCGGGGGGTGTCTGGAGAATGGGATGATTGGTCTGAGTGAAGTGAGGAGTAGGTTGGAGTGAATTGGGAAGCATAAGAGGGTGTAGAATTGGTTGGGTCAGGGTTATTTGCTAGTATGGGTTGAAAAGGGGGTTGGGAAAAATTTAAGGAATTGGTGTGAAAATTATTTGATGGAGATGGTTCAGAGTCGGCAAATTCATCGGGGGTTTCAATATTCGGGTTATTGAGTTGTGAGATGGAGTATAAAACTGAGATGTGTGAATTAGTATCGGAATTCATGCCGGATGTTACATTACTGGATGGGAAATCGGGTGGCGGAAAAGCAAAAAGTGGTATTATTGGGATTGGAGTGGTGAGGTTGGTTGGGTGGGAATTTGATCGGTGTAGGGATCCAAGTTGTCGGCTCATCGTGGGCTAAAAAAATTATTATTTTGAGACTGAAAAGCGGTGGTATGGGGTTGTTCTATAATTTGTTCATAAGTATTGTCATCTTGTGAGTGGTGTGGCATTATATGTTGGATGGGACTTTGTGATATGGTTGGTCTAAAATTTTGATTATGTGTTATGGCTAAATTTCGAAAATTACGTGGGACTAGGGATAATGGATGGTTATGTGGTAGGGGTGGTAACTGTGGTGCTGTTGGTGTTGTGTCTACATTGTTATGTTCTTCGTCGTATGTGTTCTGTCTTGTTGCTATTTTTGTGTTATATTCTTTTATTTGTGCGTCTAAAAGAATTTTGTTTATAGATGTAGAAAAGATTCCAAAAAATCCTGCAAATAGTATGCGTGCTACACTTGCTTGTCTATTGACTTGTGTGTGTATAGCACATGTGTTATAGATTCCTTTTAAGAGTGAAAAAAGAAATCCAATAAAGTTAAACATTGCGTATAAAATAGTCAATTTTTCTAAGATGTAGTAGGGCCATCCTAGAAAATCAAGAATTTCATTCTTGAGTGTAAAAAAGCTAAAAATATTGATAGGTGATATATCTTGGGGACGGTATTTTTCACCGTTTAGATATATATAATCTTTAATGTCTTTAAAATATCCGCTATAGTCTTGCGTATAGATGTCTGCAAATCCTGCGGTTTCGGCAAGTTTGCGTAAGTTTTGGTCAATTGATTGTCTTTGT